CTCCCCCAGGGTCCAAAACAAAAGCCGGGTCTGCTGGGGGGGGGGGGCACACTAGTTGCGCCCCCCCCCCCAGCAGACCAGGTACATGGGGAGCAAAGCCGCAGCGGCGGCGGGGTGCCACGCCTCTGAGGCTTTGCTCTGGCAAAGCCTCAGAGGCCCAGGACCCCTCCGCCTCCCAGCTTTGCTCCAGGTATCCCTGGTCTGCTAGAGACGGTCCCCAGCAGACCAGGGGCACCCAGAGCAGCTTTTCTTGCCCCGGAGGTCGAGGTGGCTGGACCGCTGCGCTCTGGGCGGTCCCGCTGCCTGCGAGCTCCGGGGCGAGAGAGCCCCGTTCGTAAGTGCGGATCCGACATAAGTCGGATCCGCGTAACTTGGGGACTGCCTGTATTTAAATATGAGTTACAAAGATTTCCTACTTGAGTGCTATGGACTTATGAGTTTAACCCCATCTCAGTTTTTAAAAACCCTTATACGTAGTATACATTTAGGTCATTTATACTAGTGTCACACTCAACATACATATAGTACATAAAGGTAGGTAGTTTTAAGATTCCCCCTTTTTAGCACTTTTTGCAATATAGAACTGAATATAACAAACTTTGCCATAAGATAAGTTTGTCACAGCATATGTTGTCTTTCAAGGATGTATACTTTTCAAATTGATGAATGCACATCTAAATCCCATTAAGGCTAATGAGTTTATACACAGAGGCTACCTCTACACTGGCATGATTTTCCGGAAATGCTTTTAACGGAAAAGTTTTCCGTTAAAAGCATTTTCAGAAAAGAGCATCTAGATTGGCACAGACGCTTTTCCGCAAAAGCACTTTTTGCGGAAAAGCGTCCCTGGACAAGCTACACGCGCTTTTGCGCAAAAAAGCCCCGATCGCCATTTTAGCCATTGGGGCTTTTTTGTGCAAAACAGTACTGTGCTGTCTACACTGGCTTTCTTGCGCAAATGATTTGCGCAAGAGGGCTTTTGCCGGAACGGGAGCAGCATAGTATTTCCGCAAGAACACTGACGATCTTACATGAGATCGTCAGTGTTCTTGCGGAAATTCAAGCGGCCGGTGTAGACAGCTGGCAAGCTTTTCCACAAAAGCAGATGATTTTGCGGAAAAACTTGCCAGTCTAGACACAGCCAGAGGGGAGAGTATACGAAGGTACTTGCAGTTAAAGATTTGATAGATGTTCTTCATTTCAGAGTTTAGACGACATACAGTGATGGGTGAAATAACATTTATTGGCAATATCTGTATTCATTCTGTTAACAAAATGAAAGACCTCTTAGAAAAAAAGGTTCAGCTATCTAAAATGTCTATTTCCACTTTTTGTGCTGTCATTATTTTGACAAATGAGTGGGTTCTATTAGATTGTCAAAGTCTCTAACATTTAATATCCTTGCAGATCTGAACTACTGCACCCACCACAAACCATGCAAAAATGGAGCCACTTGTCTGAACACTGGCCAGGGCAGTTATACATGTTCATGCAAACCTGGTTTCACTGGTGTTGACTGTGAGCATGAAATCAGCGAGTGTGACAGCAATCCCTGTAGGAATGGTGGTAGTTGCACGGTAAGAGCTAATTTTAAATGGAAGTCAGTCTTTGAAACAAGCACAAGTATACCTTTTCAAAAATGGCTTTCTAACAACATAATAGGAATCTGACAGTTGACAGGTCCATTACTAAAGCGCTCAGATATCGTACTGAACTCTTTCCTGGAAGTGTCAGAGGAGGAAGTTTATTATAGGGGAAGATGTATTGCCAAGATCAAAACTAGTTAACTGAGTCTTACCATGCTGGAGAGGTCCTGATGAGAGCCATTCAAAACACTGGTCCAGTAAGAATAGATGTCAAAAGTAATTTTCCTCAAACTGAAATGCACTAAAACCTTTCTAGTCATTAATAATGGAGTAACCCTGAATTATGTTAGAGGAATACAATATGAAACTGATTAAAATTTCTGTATGACAAGCTTATGCATTTTAGAGAATTCTGCTAGAATTCTGTTTAGTGTTTCAATATATTTACAGAAATCTATTAATTCATATTAGTTAATTCTGCCTGTTGATCTATATCAGTAAATCATGGATGTCAAATGTGCTTTGTGTATTCTGCCAGTAATCCGTGCATGTAGCCCCTCTGTTCATGCCCATGAGCTCTCAAGGATCACACTCAAACAGTAGAGGGTTTCAGTATGGTTTACAAGTGTGCCTCTTCATAGTGTAGCAAAATCAGTTCTCATTAGAAATGGGCTGCCATGCAGAGAATGAATGGTTGGCTTGCGACTGTATTATCAGATACATACAGTGCAGACCTAAGAGGACTTTGGGGATCCTATTAAATAAACAGTGGTAAAGTTAGTAGTATCTTTTTGTTTAGTTGGGCATTTAGTTTGCCACAGTAACACCTGTTCTCCTTGACTAAGTGATTACCCTTACTCTGAACATGAATGTCTAGTGACTTAATTCCTCTGAGTCCTATCTGCATCTTTTTCTATTTAAATGTTTCACTGATTGCAGAGAATAATATGTTCTCATTAGGTAGTGGAGGAGGAATGGAAGAAACTTCGCTGTTGATCAACAGGAGTTACATGAAAGTAAATGCCTTTGAATAGACTCAAATAGCAAAAGTTCAAGTTATGCTTTTCATTTTGCAGGATATGGAGAACAGTTATCACTGTCTATGCCCCCCTGGATATTATGGTGTTCACTGTGAGCACAGTGCCTTGACTTGTGTTGACTCTCCTTGTTTTAATGGTGGCACATGCTTGGAAAAGGACCAAGGGGCCAGCTACACTTGCCGTTGCCCTCTCGGCTTTACAGGATCTAACTGTGAAAAGAAAGTGGATAGGTGCACAAGCAACCCTTGTGCAAATGGTAAGTCTACCCATCAGGAGGTCTTGGTTATTTCTGGATCCTTCACACTTTCAGTGCTAAAGTAATGAAAATCTTTAATTTGATCTCTAGCTCTTCCGCTGTGTTATCAGCCTATTTCTCCTATTATACTTCACTTCCTACCCTGACCTCTCAGAAGGAACCAACATTGTTATGTTGTATATAAATTACCAGTGCATTAGAAATTGCTGGAGATTTATCATGGAAAGGACAAAAAGGGAAAAGTGTTCTGAGTAAATTAAACTACCTATATATTAAAGGGACAAAGTGGGTAAGGTAATATCTTGTATTGGACCAGCTTCTGTTAGCGAGAAATTTTCTCACTCACCTTATCTCTAATATCCTGGGAGCAATGTGACTACAACACTTCGTACATTGTTAAAGGCACATGATTATATCACAATGGCTTGATTAGGTAACTTGTAGAACTTTCATAAAAATGCATATAGTGTTTATGTAAAACTATTTCCCACCTATTGCAGTAATATGAATTGCTCACGGAGGAAGTGACACTGTGTTCAGGATGAAGTCTATTGCTGACTCAACATTTTTTCCCCCCCAGGTGGTCTTTGCTTTGATTTGGGTCAGCTCCGTGTGTGTCGCTGCCGTGCTGGTTTCTCTGGTCAGAAGTGTGAAATAAACATCAATGAGTGTGCCAGGAACCCATGTTCCAATGGAGGCTCTTGTCATGACCTGATCAATGACTATACATGCACCTGCTTGCCAGGCTACACTGGCAGGAACTGTGACATTAAAACTAGAGATGAATGTGCCTCTGGGCCATGCCAGAATGGTGCCACATGCTATGGCGGACTCTCTAATGCTAACTTTGTTTGCAGCTGTCCTTATGGCTTCATGGGCAGCCGTTGTGAGTTCCCAGTTTATACAGTGCCCGTTCCATATCCACCTAAACCTATTCCTTGGATAGCTATATCCATGGGTGTGGGACTCGTGGCTTTGCTTGTATTATTCTGCATGATAGCAATGGTCATCAGACAGATGCGGAGACACCCAGAGCAGGACTTGGAGACTATGAACAATCTGTCTGATTTCCAGAAGGACAACCTTATTCCAGCTTCCCAGCTCAAAAACACCAACAAAAATAAAGATCTAGAGGTGGACTGTGGGCTGGAAAAATCAAACTACAAACTTAAGAACCATACACTGGACTATAACCTGGTAAAGGATCTGACAAGCAGAGGAACACAGGAAGATAAATATTATAAAAGTGAAAAGTGTTTAGGAGAGAAGACTCCCCTCCGATTATACAGGTAAGCGTGCAGTTTTCCCCAGCAATCATTAAGCAAGATGTGTTCAAGGTACATGTGAGAAATAAGGTCATTTTTATTCAGGGAGCAGAAGTCGGAGAAAACTAGTCTATAGGTGGGGAATCTTCACACTAGAGCATGAGTTTCTATGTGCATAAGTGTCCGTTGATTAAATTCTGTTCCTGCCCAGAATATAGCCATCATGGGTAATGGCGGTCAGTCCACTCATGAAAATAAGTAGAGATTTACCTTACAGGTAGATGGTGGAAAGAAAAGAACAAAGATCTAAATTGAGATTAAAAATAATTATTTCAAAGCTTAATAAGAAAGCAAAGATAGGACAGCCTTCCCAAGAATGAGCTGTTTTGTGGGACTGGGTATTGAAATAAGAATAGCCATACTCCAATTGAAGAGAGAAAATGGGTTTCCCATCTGTTCAGTCTTTTGCTCTATATACTAAACATCTCTTACTTGGATTTCACATGTGATTTAAAGGCTGCATTGTAAGGCGGACATGGGAGGAAATAAAAAGGGACAGGAGATGGAACTTAGTAGTACATTTATTAGACAGGGAAGGGTGGAAATGTAGCAGGACAGTACTGAGTCCTCTACAATTATAACCTCCTACTCCATTATATGGAATACCCGAAACAAAGATTCGGGGTATTGTCTTGTCGTCTTACTCATGTTATCTTCCCATTTTAGAAGATAAAATTATAAGGGTTTTTAATTTTCTTAAGAATTCTTACATTTTTTTACTTTGTCTTTTGATGTCTCCCTTAGTGAAAAGCCAGAATGTAGGATATCAACCATATGTTCTCCAAGGGATTCTATGTACCAGTCTGTGTTTGTGATAACAGAGGAGCGGAATGAGTGTGTCATAGCCACAGAGGTAAGTACATGGATCCCTAATGCCCCACCTGCATAGTCATTGATTCACAAAGTGGCAGAGCAAGTCTTCCTTCAGAACTGAAGTATGAGAGGAGGTCAGTTGTATTGCAGGAATTTCAAGCACACTCTAGTATCCAGCTATAGTATGACCAAAGGCTATGACTGTCATAGCCATCAGTGGTACACGGAACCCTTTGTGGTGGACCACCAGAATAAACAGCAAATGTACTGGTAGAGATATGGGAAGTAGTGTCCTTATTTTTTTCAAAGGTGCTTCACTCAGAAGTGAAGGCAGTGGGAGCTGAGGATGCTCAGCACTACTGAAAATCAGATCATAAAAGTTAATGAGTGGAGCAGTGGTATAAGACTATTTTCTTACATACATGGTCCACAAAATGAAAGTGACAGATCCTAGGACATAGATGTAAAGTTAGGAGAGTTCCCACAACAGCAAGAGAGCATCAGATTGCTGTCGGTTCTATGGGAACACAGATGTAGCCATGGAGTTCCGTCAACAGGTGTAAGAGCTGTTTCCAGGAAGAGTACACCAGGAAGAGTACAATGAGGCCTGGTCTACACTGCCACTTAAGTCGATGTAAGTTACGTCACTCAGGTGTGAAAAAAGCTCTCCCCTGAATGTTGTAGCTTACGTCAAACTAACATGCCATCTACACTATGCTATCTTGATGAGAGATGCTGTCCTACCGACATACCTTCTGTTTCTTGGGGAGGCAAAGTACTGCCATCGACTTACTGCCTCTTCACCAGACCTGCTAAATTGACACTGCTGCATCAATTGCAGCAGCACCAATTTTGCATGCCAGTATAGATAAATCAGGGAAGAGCACTTAACTCCTTTGCCACACAGGATCCCATTACTTTCCTGGATTTTTATGCATTACCTAAGAGTCCAGGGCACAATACAGAAACAGATTTTTAACTGGAGTAGTTCAGCATGGGATAGTGTTGAGAATTAAAGTAAAAGCTGTTAAGGAACTGAATATTTACTGAGGAACAAGAGATGATAATTTGGAAAAAGGCACAATGAGAAGCTAAGGGCAATTAAACACCAGCTCTTGGCTCTCTTATCTGAAGAAGTACCTTGAACTGAGTTTGCTTTATTTCTATTTTTCTGCATATGTGCCCAGCTTTGAAACTGAGAGTCCGAGCCCAGAGCAGGAGATATCTGCTATGACATTAACACTCAGTACAACAGAATTCTATCTCCTCTGACACTTGTACTCAGAAGGCAAGCTGAAAAATAGGGGTAATACAAATAAACCAGGTACAATAGAATGGAAGGAAGGGCCTAACTCTCACTGATTGTTACCAGGAATTAGGCACCTGACTTCTATATGTGCTTTTGAAAATCTCCACCAGTATTTTCAAACTTGGCTGCCTACAGTTAAACTCCTAAATCCATATTTGGCATTTAAGTTGTCTGGTTTTTAAGAGTGCTGCTTGATTAACACTTATGAAAGCTGGGTACATTTGGGTTTAGAAGCCTAACTTTAGGTATCCAGACTTGAAAATTTTGACCTAATTATTCAAACCAGATAATTCACCTGTAAGATGTGTGGCTACAGGAAACAGGGCAGAGCTATTAGCTAGTGCTTCTCTGACCTGTAGAACAGCCTTACCGCCTGAGTACTGTTAATTAAGCTTCAGAAACATCTGGCTTAAAATAGTTTGATTTAGATGTACTTGGTTTATGATTTGCTTGTTTTATTTTAATGTCCTGCGCATAGTGCTTCCTTCTCAATCTTTTTTTAAAATTATTTCCTGACAGGTATAAGACTGAAGAGTCAGTTTGTCTACACCTCAGATTTGGTGATGCTAGAAGATGGACATTTCTGTTGCATTGTTTACAATTCAGAACTGGATTGGACTTTTTTTAATTATATGCAACTTGCTGCTCTCAGGAGGAGGATGGAACTGGGTGAACTGGACAGACTGTGAATTTACTGAAAGATGCAATACACCTTTTTGTTTGTAGTGTCCTTGTTTGACATTTGATACAAGGAATTTAACTGGCTGTAAAAGAGGGAGGGGGCAGAGGAGAGAAGGATGAAAAATGTTTTGACTGGCTTTAAATATTGAGGCCAGTTCCTCATGGACAGACTTGTTGCTTTCCAAATTCTAACTCTGGGAGATTCCAGGTGGAGCAGAAGGCACTTGACTATCACTTACACGTGCAGATGTTGCCATTGGAAACATGCACGAAGAAAAATATGCATTGCTATGTGGATATTGGATACAGAACAAATCAGATTTCCATTCTTTTGTAGGTTTAAAAGTGCCTAAAGCATGTCATAGAATCTAAGGAGCCCAATCAGAGACTTGCTGCCTTCATTTGCAGTACCTGACCAGTATTGGGCAGGGGTGATTGACACATCCTGCTGCTCATTTATTTACATCTTCTTTTCTCCAGCTGCATTTATTATTTTCAATTTTGAGGGTTTAAGAAAGGAAGGGAAGAGGAATACTGAATTTTTACAATTTCTCTCATTTTGATGTTGCCTTGGAGAACTTCTCATCTAAGCAATAATTTGGGACATAGTCTCATCCCTGAAATGATAGAGGACTCTCCCAAGTTAAACTGCTGAGAAAGGGGTGGTGTAAGGAATGCTTGTTGCCGCTTTCCTCTCAGTATGAGGAAAGCCACAATACCAGCCCTAACTGAAAGCCTTACAAATGCGTTAAAAATCAATCATCTACTAGAACTTACACTGCTGAGCTGTCTCAGCTGTTTTCATGCCCTTTGCACTACCAGTAATTGTGAATAGAAGTGAAACTTTTCTTCTGACACACAACTTTGTTTTGTTTTGGCAAGAACTTAGGCTTGTGTGTTGTGTTTCTGAATCAGGTGCCGTCAACTGCAAATAGGCTCAAAGTCCTAGCTGTCACTTTTTCAAAGAAGTGGGAGGGGTTTATTTCTGTATCTTTTACTTCCCTACTGTAGAAATCCCCCTCACATACACAGTCCTTTCACCCCTGTTCCAAATGCCTAACAGAGAAGCAGCCAATGAGAGGCCCTCTTCAAGGACAGACTTCAAGGATAGGATTTGAAGGCTCTAAGCTTGTCCTCTTTGTTTCATTGCCACTCACAACACCAGGGAAATGGAGAAGCTACTCCTTGAATGCAGAGGCACAGTTCTGAACGGGTAGGTTCAGTGCACATAGACTATCTTATATATATACACATTTACAGCAATAATAGCTGACAGGAAAGTGCTGTGCCATACTGTAGTAATAAGATGAAACTGCAAGGTGGGGAGGAATGAAGAGGGAGGAAACAGGATCTCATTCAAGGAAACCTGGGACTATGCTATCTATCTACTACCGTTCCTGACCTTGTAAATCCTAGTATTGGACTAGACCATCTGCTGCCTTGAACTGTGCAGGCAAGGTCCTGTCATAATGTCCACTACTGACCTTCTGCTCTGACCACACATCATTTTGAAGATGACCTTCAGAAATCAATAATATGGATTTTAGTTTGTCTGTGGTTTATTTTGAAGTCTAGTATTTCAGTAATTTAAAAAATCAGAAGCACTGAACTTTCTACATTTTATAACATTATTTTGTATATAATGTATATTTATAATCAAACCAGAAGTGTAAATATGTTTATTACTTCTCATGTAATGTTTTTAATGTGATAAAGTTTGAATTTTATTTTTTTTTCAAACAATGAAAATACCTTCCTACTACTATGAAGCTTACATGGTTTGTCTTCTTACCACTCAGGTTTCATAATCCTGTGATATACAGAGTAACTCCTTGTCCCAGAAGCAAGTTTGACTGTCAGCTTTCCACATCCATCCCAAATGTACATATTATGTAGACTTGCTTGATTATTAGTTGACAGCTGAGAGGTTGTAATATGGAACTGATAAGACAGAATAATTGCTATTGTGCATTTATTCTAAGCTTTCTCGTCCCCTTACAAAGTGGCAAAATTAACTCATGTTGCAGTGCACTTATAGGGTAAGAATTAATCACGATAGAGTTAATCACACATGTCTTTCAAAAATTACTTGAGTAAGTACTAAATCTTACCCTGTATGGTTTAATCTTGCACATCATAAATTTGGATTTACAGCATTTATTCCTCCTCATTCAATTAAGAATAGGTTAGGTTTATCCCTCCCCTGTACAGTTTTATGCCCCTTTCTCCCACTATCACAGGTTTGCTGAGCCTCTGCTGTGGCATGTTTCCCAGATCCTTCTGCTGCTCCAGTATCACGGTTCTCTCAGGATATATTGAACCCCAAGATGCTCTCAGAGTAAGCTTTAACAAGCTGTGAAAGGAACGTTTTGTAAGATAATGCTAACATGGTTAGAGGCCTTTGAACATATATAGCTATTATTTACAGGTAGGCAACTGAATCTCTTCCTGTAGCATACAAGTCTGACAACAGTGTATAAACAAAAAGTTACAGCAAGAACAGAAAAAAGTTACTCGTGCTAAAAAGCATGTTTATATATTTTTCAAGAATCTAACTTGTTTAAATAAACTACAAGCCACCTTATCACACAATTTTTACTCTTATTAGACCACTACACGTAATGCTTGATAAAACAAATACAAGAAGTCCCTTACTGTATAGCAATGCTATTACTGAGAGGGTTTTTGGTGCCTCCTGCTCTTCAGTTTCTTTGTTAGTAAAATCAATTTCCTTGGCTTCACTTAGAAACATTCAAGATGGAAAACAAATAAAAAGCTCTCTCCTATCCCCAAATGTTCACCTTGTAGAGCAAATTATGAAAAACAAGCCATTGACAAAAAGCTGAGCAGATGCTCCCGGCTTGCAGCCTTTCCTTGGCAATGAGAAATAAACCCAACAGATGCCTCTCTTAATTGAACACACGGATTACATACACACACGCACTCTGGCCTGCTTAAAACAAAACACACACACAATCAAACAGGAAAATAGCCAGAAAGCTCTTCCCACAGCACTAGGCAAGCAAAGATCAACAAGACCTAGTTTTGCATGTTTAAAATGAAACAGGAAATCATACGTGTGGGCAGGAGGAAGCTGAATTCATAAAACCCCATGGAAGAAATGTAGACCCTACTGGTAAAATAGGCACAGCACATGACTTTGTGCATGCCCACATAGGCAAGATGAAAAAGCTATGCACCAGTCTACAAGAAAAATTGTATATACATATTGGTGCTACTACCACACAACTCCCAAAGTAGATCACAGAGCCTCCAAAGGTAAGACACATGTGGTGCATGCATCCACAACGAACAAGGAAAAATACACATGAATCTATGCACATCTATATATTCTAGAGACATTGCTAAATAAATTGAAACCATATGGACTGAATACACACTACAACTATGATTGAACCTAATGTTTTTGGCCAAAAATTTCCCACCCCATATCACAATCTTGCATAGGCAAAGCTGTGCCCAGGTTGTTTACTATTCTGTCACCCAAGACATGATTGCAGTGTGAAAGTGTTGCATAGACTTTGAGAAAACAATGCAGAGTCCTGTGGCACCTTAAAGACTAAGGGGCTGCGTCTAGACTGGCATGATTTTGCGCAAATACTTTTAATGGAAAAGTTTTTCCGTTAAAAGTATTTACGCAAGAGAGCGTCTACACTGGCACGGATGCTTTTGCGCAAAAGATGTCTTTTGTGCAAAAGCCTCCGTGCTAGTGTAAACGCTCTCTTGTGCAAGAAAGCGCCAATGGCCATTTTAGCCATCGGGCTTTCTTGCACAAGAAATTAACTTGGCTATCTACACTGGCCCTCTTGCGGGAGAGTCGGAGTATTTGCGCAAGAACCACTGATTTTGTAAAGCGACTGCTTTTGCGCAAAATCTTGCCAGTCTAGACGCAGCCAGGGTGTGTCTACACAGCACCCTAAACTTAAAATAAGATACGCAATTTGCATAGTGTAAATTGTGTAGCTTATTTCAAATCTATTTCGAAAGAGCTTATTTTGAAATTTCACATGTCTACACAGCACTAAATTTAGAAATAAAGCACTATTTTGTGACATCCTTTAACCCTCATGGAACGAGGGATGCTGAAATAGAGCACCCATTATTTTGAAAAATATTTTGAAATAATGGGCAGCATGTTAAGACATAGCTATTGCACAGTAGACATACCCTAACTGATTTATTTAGGCATAAGCTTTGGGGGTCAAAGTCATTTTGTCATGCATTTAACGAAGTGGTTTTGACCCATGCAAGCTTATACCCAAATAAATCTGATAGTCTTTAAGGTGCCACAGGACTCCTCGTTGTTTTTACAGATACAGACTAATACAGCTACTCCTCAGACATATAGTTTGTGAAGCACTTTCAGATGTTTCAGGATGAAAGCGCTATATCAATAGTGGGGATCCCTTGGTCCCCTGCTTAATTTGATCTGGCTCCCAGCAAGTCTCCGTACTGCAGTTCAGAAACTTTGAGCCTCAGAGCCCTGCAGGGAGCTGGAGCAGGAGCACCAGTGCCCTCAGCTCGTTCCCACAACAGGCAGGACCAGATCGGCACTGGGGCTTTAGGGGCTGCAGACCAAGGCCATGGGCTAAAGGGAGCCCTACAAAAGATCTCCAGGACACCAAAAGTCCAGATCTTTTTGTGAGGCCCCCTTAGCCTTGGAACCCTGGACTTCAGATACTAAATCCCCTGCATTCTGGCCCTCCCTGGGCAGAGAGGGGGCATGGCTCTATGTCAGGGGTGTCCAAACTTTTTTCAAAGAGGGCCAGATTTGATGAAGTGAACATGCATGAGGGCCGACCATTTTTCCTGACATTCTTTGAACCATTAAAATTAAATGCAAATTAACTATTTTATGCAAAGTTTATTGCAAACAGCATACTTTTCATTTCGTCACATGGATGACAAATCTAAACAGGTGTTAAATCACTCTGCCTTTCATATCTGAAGGCCAGATGAAAAAAAAAATCCAAGAAGCTGAAATATATGTCAGGAACATTGTAAAGTACATTACATATTATTGGTAATAAAGGTTGTCTGTCAACTTTTAAGTTAAAAAAATATGAACAGGAACATAACACCAAGTATACATGTTGTGTCCAAATATATTTATAACTGATTTAGACCAACTGACATTAACTGAGATTTTACAATGTATTCATCTCAATACATATGGATTCGTTGGGGGGCCATAAAAGATAGATATTGCCAAATTACCTGTGGGGCCGTATTAAACTGGAACACGGGCTGCAATTGGCCCGCGGGCCGGACTTTGGACATGCCTGCTCTATGTGCTGCCATTCCCCTCCCTGCCACACACACACTGCCTGGGCTGGAGCCACATCACCACAGGAAGCTCAGCCCCCATGCTGCCCTCTCCTGTAGGCTCTGCTTTCGCAGCTCCCATTGGCTGGGATTCCTGGCCAATAGGAATTGCAGGGAGTGGTGCCTGCATGGAGTGCAGCGCAGCACAGCCTGTGCTGAGCTACATGCTTGCCCCCTTGCCCTGCACCCCAACTCCTTGCCCCAGGCCTGAGACCCCTCCTGCATCCTAAGTTTCTAACTTCCTCCTCAACCTCATGCCCCAACTCTGAGCCTCAGCCCTGAGCCCACTCCAATACCCTAACTCCTGCCCAGACGTCATACCCCCACTCCAACCTGTACTGAGCCCCTTCCTACACTCCAGCCACCTCATCCTCAGCCCCACCTTAAAACCCACACCCCCGTTTGTAACTCTCACCCCGTCCCACACTCCCTTCCCAACCCAATTGGCAATCACCTCCTCCACTCTGACACCCTAATTTTTGGTCCCACTCCAGAGCCTAGGGGACCCCACAAAATCTAAGTCTCCAATTCCTGAGAAGAGTTAATCCATGACTAAAGGTGAGATGAGGGAGGTTTCTTCTTCTTTTGGCTTGTGTGTGGCTGCCTGCCTGATTTTAATGTGGGTCAATGGCCCCTGACAGAAAAAAGGTTCCCTGCGCTATATCAATATAAAATATTCTCAGAAATAGAAGCAGCACCAGTACCATAAGTGCTTTAGGTTTGCCTCATTCACATGGTGTTACTTCTTTAATCAAACATTTATGTTTTTCAAAATGAATTTAATAGCTCTATGGACTAGAGGGCCCAAATTAATCCTGTCCCTTACTCCAGGATCATAAACTACAGTGGAGTTATGGGTTTGTCCCAAGGCTTATATCTTGTCAGCTTCTAGTTGTGAAAATCTGCCATTATATAGAGAAAACAATATCTTTTAAAAAATGCAAGAACAATATATAGTAATGTCCTTTTGTTACTAAAAACAACCTTCTGACATTGTCAGTTCTGAGTGCTATATAGGCCAATTCACTTCTGCTGGGCTCCACACAGTGCAGGAAGTCTGCCAGGATAGATCCAGTTTCAGGTTCTGACCTTACCTCTGAAAAGAGTTGGTATGTAAGGGTACGTCTAGACTACATGCCTCCGTCGACGGAGGCATGTAGATTAGCCAGATCGGCAGAGGGAAATGAAGCCGCGATTAAAATAATCGCGGCTTCAATCGCGGCTTCATTTCCCTCTGCCAATCTGGCTAATCTACATGCCTCCGTCAACGGAGGCATGTAGTCTAGACACACCCTAAGAGAAACAACTGCTGGGACATATGTCTAAATATGACAGTACTAGCAGCACTGCTACATATACAGCAGAACTGCATTTATCCAGATGGAATGCAGAACAGTAATTTACTTAATGTGTCAAGGAGGAAGATGCATAAAAAGGATGCAGGATGTACCTGTAAGTGGATAAAGGGGATTTTTTGAGA